AAGGTGCCCCTGTTACCTCTTGTTGGGTATCGGCCCACGAAGTGGCCAGGAGGGGGGAGTTGGTGGGGGACACGCTTGCGGGGGATCGCTTTGCTTGACTATGTAGTCTGTTGCGTCTGGCCTACCCCTCCCACTAAGGGGGGCCCCCCTCCAGGGTCAGAGCGTGGGCCGGGGCGAATCTCATTCCCCAGCCACGCCAGAGGGGGTTCGACAAAGACTGGAGTCAGTGCGTGGGCTGGGGCGAATGCCATTCCCCAGTCACGCAAAGAGGGTAGAGAAAAGTAGAAGTCTGAGTTTAGGCAGGGGCACTGTCTCATTCCCCGCGCATTCCATATAACCGCCTGAGAGGGTTAGGGAAGGGCTAGAATCAGAGCGTGGGCTGGGGCGAATGCCAGTCCCCAGCCACGCCAGGGGGGTAGAGAAGCAACGGAGACCGCATGCATCACGCAGGGTTCACACTTGTAGGGGACAGAAGGGCCCAGACCCCTCTGACTAAGGGGCTGGGAGCGTGACCCCCTTGGCACCCCAATTTAACGCAGCACCCTTCATAGACTGGGAATATGCTAGTGAGGAGCCGACAAGACAACTTAGTGGACGTGGGGGGGGGGATTCTTAAGGAGCCCGGCGAGCCGGGCCAACAAGGTTCGCCTTGCATTGTTCACATTAGTCTTGGGGCGGCCCTGAGGCTTCACAGTCGTGGGGCGGCCCTGGGGCCTGGGCTGGCGCTTTAGGGGGCTTCACAGTCGTGGGGCAGGCCATCGCCCACCAGAGAGGCGGCCACGGCGCATTCCGGGTTATTGGTGCCCCACAGTCGTGGGGCCCTTCTTGTAGCAGTAGGTGTCGAATTTTAGTATTGGAAGTATCCCAGCAGCGGTACGCCACGTTGAAGCGAGAATGATCCCCGAGTAGGACCCCACGCCCTGACACAGAGGGGAGTAGTAAGGTAGGCGCAGTAGTTGCCATGTTGATCGTGCGCAAGCCATAATTAATACCAAAGCACCTTGCGATGCGGTTGTGATGTGATGCTATGCGACCCGCATTCCAGCCTTCCAGCCCTTATGCCCTATGGTCTATGGCCGATGGGGCGGTCCTCCCAGAGGGCAGGCGCATGGCACACGCAGTCCCAGCTATGGGCTATGGGACACGCAGCCCTGATTAAATAAATGGGACGCACATCCCCTGTTATGGGACACGCAGTCCTGGCAAATGGGACGCGCAGTCCCTGCTATGGGACACACATTCCTGGCACATGGAACGCGCGGTCTCGATTATGGGACACACCGTCCTGGCAAATGGGACGCGCAGTCCCTGTTATGGGACACGCAGTCCTGGCAAATGGGACGCGCAGTCCCTGCGATGGGACACACATTCCTGGCACATGGGACGCGCAGTCTCGATTATGGGACACACCGTCCTGGCAAATGGGACGCACAGTCCCTGATATGGGACACGCAGTCCTGGCAAATGGGACGCGCAGTCCCTGCTATGGGACACACATTCCTGGCACATGGGACGCGCGGTCTCGATTATAGGACACACAGTCCTGGCAAATGGGACGCACAGTCCGTGTTATGGGACACGCAGCCCTGGCAAATGGGACGCGCAGTCCCTGCGATGGGACACACATTCCTGGCACATGGGGCGCGCAGTCTCGATTATGGGACACACCGTCCTGGCAAATGGGACGCACAGTCCCTGTTATGGGACACGCAGTCCTGGCAAATGGGACGCGCAGTCCCTGCGATGGGACACACATTCCTGGCATCTTGGACGCGCAGTCTCGATTATGGGGCACACCGTCCTGGCAAATGGGACGCACAGTCCCTGTTATGGGACACGCAGTCCTTGCAAATGGGACGCGCAGTCCCTGCTATGGGACACACATCCCTGGCACATGGGACGCGCAGTCTCGATTATGGGACACACCGTCCTGGCAAATGGGGCACACAGTCCCTGTTATGGGACACGCAGCCCTGGCAAATGGGACGCGCAGTCCCTGCTATGGGACACACATCCCTGGCACATGGGACGCGCAGTCTCGATTATGGGACACACCGTCCTTGCAAATGGGGCACACAGTCCCTGTTATGGGACACGCAGTCCTGGCAAATGGGACGCGCAGTCCCTGCTATGGGACAACCATCCCTGGCAAATAGGGGGCGCAGTCTCGATTATGGGACACACAGTCCTGGCAAATGGGACGCACAGTCCCAGTTATGGGACACGCAGTCCTGGCAAATGGGACGCGCAGTCCCAGCGATGGGACACACATTCCTGGCATCTGGGACGCGCAGTCTCGATTATGGGACACGCAGCCGTGGCAAATGGGACGCGCAGTCCCTGTTATGGGACACGCAGCCCTGGCAAATGGGACGCGCAGTCCCTGCTATGGGACACACATTCCTGGCAAATGGGACGCGCAGTCTCGATTATGGGACGCACAGGCCTGGCAAATGGGACGCACAGTCCCTGTTATGGGACACGCAGTCCTTGCAAATGGGACGCGCAGTCCCTGCTATGGGACACACATGCCTGGCATCTGGGACGCGCAGTCTCGATTATGGGACACGCAGCCGTGGCAAATGGGACGCGCAGTCCCTGTTATGGGACACGCAGTCCTGGCAAATGGGACGCGCAGTCCCTGCCATGGGACACACATTCCTGGCAAATGGGACGCGCAGTCTCGATTATGGGACACACCGTCCTGGCAAATGGGACGCGCAGTCCCTGTTATGGGGCACGCAGTCCCCGCGCATTGGAGCATGTCCCATGTAAATCAGAGGTGAGGGGGAGAGATCGAAGTGTTTGGTACGGAAGAGGAATATATTGTCTGGTTTTCCGTTATTTGGTCTCCTCCTCCTACTGCTCCTCTTCCTCATCCTATTCCTCCTCCTCGTGCTTTTGGCCCCGTGCCCCAGCCACGTCGTGGAGGAGCAGCCAGGTAGGTTCATGCTTTGACATGCTGTTAGTTCGCAGACCATAGTAGGCCGTAGCAGGCCTGGGGTCTCCGCAGTTGCACGCGGGGCATAGGTGGCAGTGTCAGGCATGGGGGTGGGGGGGCTTACCAGCCACCGTGCAAAGGGCCCGCGTGTAGGCCATGGGCGGTCATAGGCCGCGCAGTGGAGGGCATTGGCGCGAGTGTTGCACAGCATATGCGTTGTAGCAGCCTCATCTTCACAAGTGTTGCATCCATGGGAGTACGGGGATTGGCGCGGGCCAGCTAAGTGTGCTTCACAGTCGTGGGGTGGCCCTCCTCTGGGAAGAGGCCAGGCAGTTGTAAACCATCCTGCTTCACAGCCGTGGGGGGACCTTACTCATGCATTCCAGGTTGCATCCCAGTTGAATTAGCATTGCATATCAAACCGTATGCACCACCCAGGGTAGCATGATTTAGGTTGCAGAAATTTCAGTGTTTTCTGGTGTTTGATTTGGAATTGGAATTGAACATGGCGTGCCACCATTGTTAGGGCACGAAGCGGTAAAGCATTACCCGTGTCTTAAACGACAGCCGTGACAATCCTCCACCTCCTCCTCCTCCTCCTCCTGATCCTCCTCCTCCTCCTCCTCCTCCTCCTCCTCTCTCCTCCTCCTCCTCCTCCCTCCTCCTCTCCTCCTCCCCTCCTCCTCCTCCTCCTCCTCCTCCTCCTCCTCCTCCCTCCTCTCCTCCTCCTCCTCCTCCTCCTCCTCCTCATCATCATCATCATCATCATCATCATCATCATCATCATCATCATCATCATCATCATCATCATCATCATCATCATCCCCATCCCCTCCCTCCGTTCTCCCCCTCCTCTTCCTTCCTCCTACTCCGCCTGCTCCTCGTGCTCCTCCTGTTTCTCCTGCTCCTCCTGCTTCTCCTGCTCCTCGTCCTCCTATTCATCCCTCCTCCCCCTCGCCTCTTCCTTATTCCGGTGATATTACACGTGAAAGGCTCAAGCAACGCTCTGGCCTCATCGCGGGAAGGCATCGCGGACCCCCCCTCGCTGTTCTCTCCCTCCCTCCGTCACGTCCGTCACTCCCCCCCAGAACTGACGTGATCACGAATCCACGTGATCACAATGCCACGCCCAACAGGGATGATGGACAAAGTCTCCCTGCTCCCTCCTTCCTCTCCTTCCCCCTCCCTCCCCCCTCCCCTGCTGACCTCCAGGTTGGGAGGACGGGTGGGTAGGATCACTCTCAACCATGATGAACCATGATGGGCACTACAACCAGGGCGACAGGCCACAAGTGGCTGTCTCACGAACTCCAGGAGATTAGCGTGTTCGCTGCGCACAATCACGGTTAGGAGGAGGACGCGGAGGAAGAGGAGGACAAGGCGAAGGAGGGAGACGAAGATGTGAGAGGCGAGAGGGACAGGCGGAGGGAAAGGCAGAGGCATAGGGAGAGGAAGAAGCAAAGAGAGAGTGATAGAGCAGTGAGCTCCTCGCACTTGAGACCTCCGCCGACGACGCCTGGGCCGCTGCGGCCACGGTGCGCGCAAAGCCGAGAGCCGCCTCCGTGTCTGCGGCCGAGCTGCGCGCCGACATAGCCACCTCGGACGCGCTGTCGGGGCGCACTGTCGGGGAAGCCGCCCGGGAGCCGGCGGCTGCCGCCGAGGCCGAGGCGCGGAAGGCCGCCGCCGCGGCCGTGTCCTGCTCCGCCGCGCTCGTCCGCGCGGACATGTACACCTCCGCGTCGGAGGAGGCGCTGTCCGCCGGCGCCGGCGGTGCTGGTGGTGCCTGGACGCCCGCCGCGTCCTGCTGCGACACCTCCTCAGAGAGCAGAAAATCCACCCGCATGATAAGCCACCCCGGCACGCGAAGCCGTTCAGCAAACGCACCCAAAGGAGGAATCGAACGGGGCACGGCGATTTAGCAAACCCCCAGGGCCGTTTCGTAAACGCCAGCTGTCGGCCTGGGTGGCGTTTCCTCCCCTGACTCCTGGGCCATCCTCGCGGCCTTGTCCACGGCGCGCTGGGCAGCGCGCCTCGAGGCGTCATTCTCCGCCTCGGTCGTGGCCACGGTGACGGACACCTCGTCGACGGAGCGCGGGCGTGGCCCCTCGTCCCCGGCCGCGGCCGCCAGGTCCGAGGCCATGTCGACCGCCACGCGGTCGGCCCCGCGGGTGGAGAGCACCTCCTCCGATGCCTCGCTCCGCGAGTCGGGGCGCTGCGCCTCCCGTGCCGTGGCGGCGTCTGCGAGGCGCGAGGCCGTCGTGCGCAGCAGGTCCTCCTCGACGTCGCTGGAGGCGGCGGACAGGCCAACCTTCCGCCACCAAGAAACGTCCACATGCACCGCTGCCCAGTCGTGCCCTGGCAACCCGAGGAGTGGCGCACGCGGATCTGTTCCCTCGCCTTCCGGGGCGGGCGGATGTCCATGCACGCCGCTCCCCGACGCGCCCAGCCACGACCCCAGCGCGGTCGACGTGGACAGTTCCTGGGCGGCGGCAACCTCAGAGAGCTCAGCGCCCGCGTCGTCCATGGGATGCAGGGTCTCCTGCAGCGCGGCCGAGTCGGCGGTGAGCTCTGCCTCGGGCTCCAGTGCCTCCTGGAGCAGGGCGGAGTCGGCGAGCCGCGAGGCTGTCGTGCGCATGAAGTCATCCTGCAGGGCGCTGGAGGTGGTCGAGTACTGCGCCTCGGAGCGCTGTCCATCGGCACCCTCCATCAGGGACGGAAGCACAGCGTCCTTTCCCAATGGCGGGTATGGACTGACGTGTGCCGGCTTGCCCATGATCTCCAGCTTGTTCAGGTCCCGCCCCCTGATCTCCTCGATGACGAAGTGCGGGCCGCGCAGCTCCGCGATGACGGATCCCTCGCGGAGCGCCACATCGACGACTGCCAGCGACTTTTTCTGCACTCCGAGGTCCACAAGGCCATCGAACAGCTGTTGCTTGAAGACAGAATGGTCTACCTGCTTCTGGCGGCTACATGCGTTTCTTCATATATCTTAATACGTGCGAGATCTTCGCTGAGACTCGGAACCAACGCAATGAACAGATCCCACGCACGCACCCGAGCCATCACTTGAATTCGAATAGGAGTCGAATAGTGAGCGCACGCAACGCGAACCACGTTGACGGAAACTGCATCAAACACCACAACTGCACACATGTGCAAGGACAAATGTGGATGTGCGGGCACCGAACAGCTCCATTGCAGACGTGAACAGATGACGAGCATCGCACACGTGACCACAGTCCCCCAACCCTATTCGTGCTCAAGGATGCGTACTTCGGTTACCGGAGGAATTCTGGGTTGGTCGGCCCGATGCTGCCTGTTGCCAGGTTGGCGGGCGCTCGTGGGTCACTCGTGGGGGCCTCGTGCGCCGGGAGGGTCCGCCGAGGTCCCGCCCGGTGCACCTGCCCGTGGGCGCCTCTCGCGCGCGCCTCGTGCGCTGGGAGGGTCCGCCGAGGCTCCGCCCGGTGCACCCGCCCGCGGGCGCCCCTCGCGCGCGCGCCTCGCGGGCGCCGCGTGCGCGGAGTGGGCGTGCCGAGGCGTCGCCCGGTGCCCGCCCGGGGCCCCACGCCAGCGCCGCGTGCGCTGGGCGGCCGCACAGAGGGCACCACGCGGCCTTCACCGCAGAGCTTCTGCGCCACGCGGCTTGCACCGCCCAGCCGACAGCGCACAGGGCATACCACACAGCTTGCGCCGCACGGCTCACACCGCCTGTGTGGAGTCACGGCTTGCACCACGCAGCTCACGCCACGCAGCTGACGTCACGCAGCTGACACCACATGGCTTACACCACATGGCTTGCACCGCATAGCTTAAAGCGCGTCATTTGCATGAGCTAAGTTAGCTTACACCGCACAGCTTGCACCATGTAGTTTACACGCCCCCACACTTACTTGCTTACCATGTCGGAACCCACGCTGGCAAGCAGGACAATCCCTGCTGCATCCGAATGGTGACACGGACCAGTGGAACCCTTTTGCTGTTCCCAGGGCTGTGGGGGACGCGAGCGCGACTGCCGAGCTAAATGACCAGTGGAACACGTAGTGCGGCGAACCTTCCTGTCATACAGTCGGGGCGTTGACCTACGGAACCCTAAGTAAGGAACGAGGCCCCTTTCTTCCAGAAGTTAAACTTCGACTTCCTATCGAGAACATCGGAAAACCTGAGGCAAGATGTGAAACACTTAAGGAACGCGGAGCCCCTCCCCAACGAAAAGGGTTCCTTCTTCAGGGCCCCGACTGTAGCCAGTTCATGACACCGAGAATGTGGTCAGCAAAGCCCGTGATCTCGCATCCCAAACGCAGACCCGAAAAGCTGCATCCATACCATACGCCTGTCTCTGGAACCCCTGGCTTCGCTGGGGTTGGCCACCCTTGAACTTGGCTCGGCGCAAGACTACTTCGGTCAGGTACTGCTGGGCTTGTTCTGGCTTCCGATGGCAGACCCCATGTCGTCTTACTCCAGTAAGACTGTGCGGGCCTTCCGCCAGCTGTTGCCGAGACCGAAGACGTCAGCTTATAGATTCCTCGAAGGCGAGGCACTTTTAGAGACGCTCGCAAGGAAACAGTTTACACCCGACCTGCAACGCCCGCAATCTCAATGGCTTCTAGGAGCTTCCGATACCGTGCGAAGCCTGGCAATGGAGTGTAATCGATCGCGTTGCATCTGTGATTGATCAGACTCAATATTTGGAGGTGCACGTGGAGTCGTGGCTGGCCACGGCATGGCTTCCGAACCCAAACTCATCAAACATAAAAAGATACCTGGCTGAGCCACAACTTCACGCTCAACCTAAAACCGGCATGCAGACTTGCTAAGGATGGCTTGACTCAGCGGAGTGCTGCTTTCTAGAGCAGCGCGATGGTGGTATGCAACATTCCACGAATTTGAGCCAGACGCAAAGAAATGCCAATTCGAGGCAAGTCGTTACGCGTGCCCCAGACGTACAAAAAAAACGAACGACCATCTCACAAGCTGGATCAAAAAATCGCTCCTGGCTTACACAGACGAGAAAACCGGACCTTTCGGCATCCTGCGTCGAAAAGAAGGAGAGGGGGAGCTGAAAGCACCCGAGGGAGCAGTCAGACGCTCACACTCTCGCGCTTCGCACAGCTGGAGCCAGATCTCAAGACTGCACGCTTGCCGAGGGAAGGAGACATTGAGCACACCCGTGACCTTCTGGTACTCCACGTCAAACTTCAGGTCCAGGCCGTCGTGGGCGTCCTCGTCCACGCCCGGCAGGAGCGTCGAGTCCATGCCCGGCGCAGCCTTCGTGGCCACCCAGCTGCCGGCCGGGTAGAAGGTCGTGGTCTGCGCCGTGCAGGCGGGAGGAAGGGGGGGGCGGAGAGGAGAGGACGACGACGACGACGAGCGCGCGATGTCGGTCCAGCGGGACCGGCCCTACGAGGGCAGCGCGGGGAGGCCAGGGCCCTCAGAAGACGTGTTGCGAGCAGAAATCGGAGAGGTGGATGTTGGAGACTCTTTGAGGGAGAAGAAGGAAGTCCTCCATGTAGTCGAGGAGACTGGAGGAAAGCATGGCATGGAGACTGGAGGAAAGGATGCGCATGGGTCCTCGACAGTCGCACCCTGGGCCCAAAATGGCCCTGAGCAGGATCGGTGTCTGTGCAAGCTTTTACGGCTCGAAGGCGAGGGGGAGGTGCGGGGAAGGCGGTGGCCTGCGAGGTGTCCGCTGGCTCGTCAAAGGTCGCCTGCAGGTAAGCCGTGTTCACGGCAGGGAGGGGGCTCCCGGCGTCCTCGGCGGGCAGCTCCTGGGACCGCGCCGCCCACATCTCCGCACGTGCGGTGTCCGACATGCCCGAGACCATGGTGTGAGCGATGGCGTCCTCCTCCACCGAGCAAGCCCCGCTGGTCCCTGCCGACAGCGAGCGCGCCGATCCTGCCGACCTCCTGGACGCGGCGCTCGGCGGCCGGGCGGGCTCGGACGGCTGCCCACCAGGTGCAGCGCCCGAGGGCAGGGCTCCTGCGGCCTGCGTCGAAGCAGCACTCGGTGGCCGTGCGGGCTTGGGAGGCTGTGCGGCAGGTGCACCGGCAATGCTGGACGCCGCCGAATCAGCGGTGATCGACACCATGGTCGGCGCTGCAGACTCGGGGTAGACGTGGGCGAGGCCGGCGATGATGTCGCCCGCGAGGGCCTCCTCCTCAATGCCAGAGTTGGCGGTGAAGCGGCTCGTGGCTCCTTCAGACATCGCCGGGTCTGGCTTCAGCGACGGAGCCCGCTCCAGAGCCGTGGCAGTGGTGAAGGCCACGCTGGCCTCGGACGTGCTTGGCCTGAAGGCATGGTCAAGAATGATGCCGGTCATCATCTGCCCAACAACCTGGTCTGACTCTCCAGACAACTTGGCGGTCGAGGCAGCACCACCAGGCACGACACTCTGCTGAGACAGTGCTGGATCACCCGTCGAAGCCTTGCCAGAGGCCGCGACCACCGCCTGTGCCGAGGTTGGCGAGGCTGCCGCAAACGTGACGGATGATGCCTCGCCACCCTGCGGAGCTGAGGCCGAGGCCTCCGTAGGCATCGCCACGCTCTGCGGTGGCGCCCCCTCCGCCAGCGCACTGCGGGCGGACGCCACGGTCGGCGAGACGATGGTCTCCACTCCACCCTCTGGTGGAGGACACCCCTGCGCCCCACCTCTCTGGGTGTAGGTGGTGGCGATGTCCTCCACGATGCCCGCCGCCACCTGTGCCGCCACCGCGCCCGAGTTGGCGCTATACCGCGAGGCGGCAGAGACCGGCCTTAAAGGGTCCTGCGTTTCGCCAACCTCACTTTCCGCATGAAGCGACAAAACGACCTCCAAACTCGCCGGCACGGCGCGCAAGTCCAAGCTGCGGGCGACGTCTCCTGCCACGCTCTCGGCGGGGTCGGTCTCGGCCATGACCAGCGACCGCTCGGGCTCCTTGGAGCCTGGCGTCACGATGTCCAGACTGACACCTTGCGATTAGCAATCAAGGGACCCCTCGGACCTAAGTTCAGAGGCCCCACAAAATTAGGGTTAGGGGCTAGTTTCAGCAGATGTGTCAAGATGAACCGCCCAAACTGATCATCCCCAATGCCAAGAAGAGGGGCCAAAATCAGGCGACTTCTCCACTGTGTCACGAAGGTTGGGGGTTCTTGTCTTCTCGATGACCTTGGACAATCTCGCCCGCTGCACTCTCCGCCGGGTCGTTCTCGGCCGTCATCCGAGAGAACGGGCGGTCCTGGCTTCCCGGGCGACCAGACTCCTGTGCCAGGGCGGACCCCTGCAGGTCCAGGGCGGACATCACGTGCTGGGCAAACCGGGCCTCGGGCTCGGAGGAGGCCGCGGTGATCTTGGAGAAGTCGCTCCTCCGGTCCGCGGCGTCCTCCGCGGCGGCCGCGGCCGAGTCCACGAACGACCGTGGGAGAGCGCCCTCCAGGCCCTCGTCTGTGACCAGGGACAGCTCCTCGGGCGCGAATCAACAGGGTGGGCAAATGGGGGGGGGGTAGAACGGTGCCCTCCTCGGGCCCCCAAAGCCCCCTCTGGGGGCACTGCAGGGCCCCTTCCGGGGCGATGGAGGGCCCCTCTTCGGCAGCCCTCGCCGCCCCCCCCATTGCTCCCCCATTATAATCTGAGGTCGGGCATGTCCTCCTACAGGCGGACTTTGGAAAAGAAATAAACAATAAACAAACAAATATTCAAAATACAATTGTCCAAGAATCGTCCCCAGAGAATGTTTTAAACTACTTTTGAACTACTCCTCCTGTAGAGGAACGTGCCCGAGTTAAGAGTAGTTCGCGCCCAGGCTCCGCCACCGTGATCTCATCTGGGAGGGCCGAGCCCTGGGCAATCGCCTCCGACGCCACCGCACTGGGTGCCGCGGCGGCAGCCGCGGCCCTCTGCGCCACCCCTGCCGACGAGGCTGCCTTCGCGGGCGGCTCTGGCGGTGCTGCTTCCGCCACCCCTGCCGACGAGGCCGCCTTCGCGGGCGGCTCTGGCGGTGCTGCTTCCGCCACCCCTGCCGACGAGGCCGCCTTCGCGGGTGGCTCTGGCGGTGCTGCTTCCGCCACCCCTGCCGACGAGGCCGCCTTCGCGGGTGGCTGTGGCGGTGCTGCTTCCGCCACCCCTGCCGACGAGGCCGCCTTCGCGAGCGGCTGTGGCGGTGCTGCTTCCGCCACCCCTGCCGACGAGGCCGCCTTCGCGGGTGGCTGTGGCGGTGCTGCTTCCGCCACCCCCTCGGGAATGACAATGCCTGCCACCAGCGACTTCGCCGTAGCGCCCGCCTGGGCCTCAGCCAGGCTGCTGCTGCCGGTGCGCGCCGAGACCCCGTCCACCTGAGACGGCGCCGTCTCAAACGAGAGGCCGCGCAGCGGATCTGGCGGCGCCGCGCTGCCCTGCTCGGGGGCCTCCTGGGGCTGCGGGCTCTGCTGCGGCAGTGCCGCCGGGGGCTGCAGGCTCTGCGGCTCGTCCATCATCTCGAGCAAGATGTGCCTGGCCAGCGAGCCCTCCACGTCACTGGACCTCGCAGACATCTCTCCCATGGTCCTCGGAGTCGAGGACGCAGGGGCGGCGCTCGCCTCCGCCAGGGAGGCGGCCGCTGGCTCCAGGGGCGCGGCGCTGCTCTGCGCAGGCGCCTCCTGGGGCTGCAGGCTCTGCTGCGGCGAGCCGATCATCTCGCCCAGGATGTTCTTGGCCAGCGAGCCCTCCACATCACTGGACCTCGCCGACATGCCCGACATGGACCTCGGGGTCGAGGACGCCCGGACGACGCTCGCCGCCGCCATGGTGGCCAGCGGCGGCATCGGTGGCGGTGCGCTGCTCTGCTCGGGTGCCTCCAGGGGCTTCAGGCTCTGCTGCGGCTCGCCCGTCATCTCGCCCAGGATTTTCTTGGCCAGCGAGCCCTCCAGCTCACTGGACCTTGCCGACAACTCCGCGGCTGCCATGCTGTCCACGAAGCTTGCCTGCGCAGCGCTGGAGCTGTCTTGTGGAGCGGGCTGCCGCTCTGGGACGCTCGCCGCCGCCATGGTGGCCAGCGGCGGCATCGGTGGCGGTGCGCTGCTCTGCTCGGGTGCCTCCAGGGGCTTCAGGCTCTGCTGCGGCTCGCCCGTCATCTCGCCCAGGATTTTCTTGGCCAGCGAGCCCTCCAGCTCACTGGACCTTGCCGACAACTCCACGGCTGCCATGCTGTCCACGAAGCTTGCCTCCGCAGCGCTGGAGCTGTCTTGTGGAGCGGGCTGCTGCTCTGGGACGCTCGCACTGTCCACGTTGGCAGCTATGGCAAGAGGACTCGCTGCGTGCGCGTCCACGCCGATGGCGTCTGGTATTGGCTGCCCAGAAAATTGCGGCGTCGCTGGACGCGTGTGCACTGGTGTCTCTTGAGGCGTGATGAGTGTGCGGCCGAGCAGCTCCTGCAGCATAGACATCGCGATGTCCCCGCGGGCCTCGCTGGCCTGGCCAGAGTGCTGCGACAACGCTACCGACTGAACGCTGCAGTCCGAGCGCCAGGTCAGCGGCTGAGCGCTGGACGGCCGCACTGCGCTTGCGGCGTATGGGCCCAAGGCTTCCACGATGACGGCCGCCTCAGTCATGTCCGCATAGCTGTCGGCAACGGTGGAGACGGCGGGCGCAGAGTCCGCCGTTGGCAGACCTGAAGGGAAACGTTCGGGTGGGACTGGCACAGGGGTGTGAAGCATCGAGCTAGAATCGGAGATGCATTGCCGATCGACTGGCGATAGGCCCCCCGATAGCAAATCAATATGGTCCTGTGCCCCATGGGCTGCGGGGCCCCTATCCGCGATCAATGGGCGATTGGGGGTCGATGCAACCCTCGCTGAGCCTTTCCCCCCCCTAACGTTGCCCGTGAAGACCGCGCTGCAGAGAGCGCACGAGCTCACCCGCCATCGCGGCCGAGTCGCGCCCGCCGCTTCGCGTCGAGCGGGCACTGCCCGTCGGGGAGCGCAGCAGGCGCTGAACCTCGGGGCTCGGCGCCGGCAGTTCCACCACCGAAGCCGCTTGCGCTTGCGGCGCCTGCGACTCGGGTTCCTGCACTGGCGCCGCCTGCGGCGCCTCCGCGACCGCCGGCGCCGGCGGCGCCTGCGACTTGATTTCCTCCACCGGCGCCGGCTGCGGCACCTCCGCGGCCGCCGGCGCTGGCGGCGCCTGCAACTTGAGCTCCTCCACCGGCGCTGGCTGCGGCACCTCCGCGGCCGCCAGCGCTGGCGGCGCCTGCGACTTGAGCTCCTCCACTGGCACCGCCTGCGGCGCCTCCGCGACGGCCGGCGCCGGCGGCGCCTGCGACTCGAGCTCCTCCACTGGCGCCGCCTGCGGCGCCTCCGCGGCCGCCGTGAGGACCGGCGGCGCCTGCGACTTGATTTCCTCCAGCGCCTCCAGGTGCGGCAGATCCGCCTGCGGCGCCTGCGGTGCGGAGGACGCCTCTGGCTCCACGGCCGCGGCCTCCCGCGGCAAGAGGGCCTCGGTCACCTTCCTCTGCGCCTCCGCCTCCATCGCCCTGCGGCTCGCGTCCTTCGGGGCAGTGACCACGCCATGGGGACGGTCTGTTTGGGACTCCGATCACGAGGACGGGAAAATGGGCACGATGCCCAAGAGCACATGGTATGTCAAGAACCGAGAGCGGCCGTTGTTGGGCATGCGACGTTCTGTCTCAAGCGGACAACGCCCGCGGCGACACCGACAACGAGTCCCGTTCAAAATGGGCAAGAACCGCTGGAAATATCTGGAGTCAGCCTAAGCCGCGATGCGCGGAGCGCAATCATCCACATCCGCAACGTCAGAGATCCTTGCCTGGGTCCCTGGGGGCCCGTAGCCATGGACACGATCCGCCCGCAAGGGAGCGCGGACGTCCGTGTCCACCACTCCTCGAAGCTCCCAGAAATAACTCCAAAGCAGTGGATACGGATACTCCAACGGTGGAACCATGGCACTATGATCATCACCGTCACCACCGTCACCCAAATCATCCCAATTAGCATTCTGGCAATCATCTGCATGAACACAATCACTCGCAATCATAATCACCAACGCCCTGATCATGACCACCATCACCATGCCCACTCGTCATCAACACAATCATCATCGTCGGCAGCATCATCATAATCATCATAACCATCACCAACACAATTAACAACAACAACAACAACAGCAACAACAACAACAACAGCAGCAGCAGCAGCAGCCTGATCATCAGCATCGTCATCACCAGCATCCACTTGTAAACATCATGAGCATCAGCGTCATCATCATAAGCATCGTCATCAAAATCGGCACCAGCATCATCACCATCACCAGCACTACCATCATCATCAGCATCAGCTACAAGAGGTTCATTACCATCGTCGCCATCATCACTGGTCGTCATCCGCAACAGCAGTGCCAATAGCATCATCCTCCTCCTCATCCTCATCATCATCATCATCATCATCATCATCAGCAGCAGCATCAGCATCATCATCATAAACTACATCCGCATTACCACCATGCGCATCACCGCCAATGAGTCGATCGCCACCATCGCCGCCACACCCATCATCAACAACACCAGCATCATCGCCAGCACCATCACCACCATGCTCGGCTTCACACTGACCACCACTATCACGCGGCCGCGGAAATGACTCCGGCGCGGGCGGCGACGCCAACGAAGACGGGCAGTAGGGTGGGCAACTGGGCATCGCGTCGCTCAGGGTTTCCACCGTGCTTTGAGGAGGTTTATACCTGCCGTGGCGGCGGCGCGGTGTGAGGCGTAGTCCACCCCCGCCTGCTCCTCCTCCGCCTCCTCCACCTGCTCATCCGCCTCCTCCTCCATTCCTTTTCCTTATAAATAACTTTCCACTGTCGCACCCCGAGGCCAGGTTTTAGAGGGTCGTGCGTTTCGCCTGAGACTTCCTCACTATGTATGACCCTGAAGCTTAATCATTGAGAACAGCTTCAAAGATGGAGGGCGGGTCGTTTCCAAAATGTGGCTCTCGCCTCAGCGCCGCGCAAATTCATTCTACTAAGCTGCAAGATCTTCACGGATTGAGGGCGAATAGTATTCAACTTGTGGCTCTCGCCTTAGCGCCGCGCACATTCGTTGTAAATATGTGCAAGAGTTTCACGCATTGAGGGCGGGTGGTTTTCGACATTTGGCTCTCGCCTTAGCAACACGCACACTCGTTTTTTAACATTTGCAAGAGTTTCACGCATGAAGGGCGGATGGTTTTCAACAAATGGCTCTCGCCTTAACGCCGCGCACATTCGTTCTTAACACTTGCAAGAGCTTCACGGGTTGAGGGCGGTTGGTTTGCAAAATGTGACCCTCGTCTTAGCGCCGCGCACAATTGTTTTAAACATTTGCCAGGGCTTCACGCATTGAGGGCGGATGGTTTTCAACATGTGGCTCTCGCCTTCGCGCCGCGCACACTCGTTTAAACATCCGTAGTGTAAGAGCGTTACGGATTGAGGGCGGTTCTTCCTCAAAATGTGCCTCTCGCCTCAGCGCCGCACAGATTCGTCTTAACGAGCTGTCAGAGTTTCACGGAGTCACATGATCAACGTACCAGAAAGGGCGTTTTGGAAGAATTCAGGATCATGAGGGTGCAACAGTTACGTTGATTCGCAGTGTTGACGTCCCGGGAATGGCGCTCTGGGACGATTCTGGATCGTCAAGACGCAACGGTCAGGTTGATCCGCGGCGTGGGAAACCCGAGAACACTGATTTGGCATGCTTCAGGGTCTTCCAGCGGTTGTCTTTCAACGAGGAAGTTTCCTCAGTGGCAATGAACCGCTGTGGGGGCATATGAAGAGGACGCTTGGAGGGAGGGGGGTTATTCCAACATCGTTGATGACTCTTGGGTTTACACTCGTCCTCCTCCTCCTCTCCTCCTCCTCCTCCTCCTCCTTCTCCTCCTCCTCCTCCTCCTCCTCCTCACCTCCTCCGTCTTGGTGGAGGTTTATGCCTGCCGTGGCGGTGGCGCGGTGAGAGGCGTAGTCCCCCCCCCGCCTCCTCCTCCTCCTCCTCCTCGTCCTCCTCCTCCTCCTTTCCTCCTCCTCCTCCTCCTCTCCTCCTCCTCCTCCTCCTCCTCCTCCTCATCCTCATCCTCATCCTCAGCCTCATCCTCATCCTCATCCTCATCCTCATCCTCATCCTCATCATCATCATCATCATCATCATCATCATCATCATCATCATCATCATCATCATCATCATCATCATCATCATCATCATCATCATCATCATCATCATCCATCATCATCATCATCATCCGCATTCTCATCATCATCATCCTCCTCCGCCTCCTCCTCCGCCTCCTCCTCCTCCTCCGCCTCCTCCGCCTCCGCCTCCTCCTCCTCCGCCTCCTCCTCCTCGGCCTCCTCCTTCTCCTCCTCATCCTCCTCCTCCGCGGACTCGTCTGTCCACTCTGGCGTGCAAACAAAAATCCGGACCGGCACCGCCACGTCCCCGAGGCTGCGCCCCCCCCGCGCGTCCTCCGCGGCTCGCGCGTGCAGGCCCGCCTCCAGGGCCTCCGCGGCCTGACGCTGAGCCTGGGCCTCCTGCAGCGCCGCCCTGCGGCCGGCCGCCTCCGCCTCCGCCAGCATCTGGCGGGCCTCCTGCGTGAGGGGGCAGCGGCAGGGTGGGACTGGCGAGGAGGAGGAGGAGGAGGAGGAGGTGGAGGAGGAGGAGGAGGAGGAGGTGGAGGAGGGAGGAGGAGGGAGGAGGGAGGAGGAGGGAGGAGGAGGAGATGGAGGAGGAGGAGGAGGAGGAGGAGGAGGAGGAGGAGGAAACGAGGACCGACGCCTAGCTATAGAGGGCGCAGAAATGCACGCATGCCGATGTGGCTGTAGCCACTGGCGCCACGGCTGTGGCCATGGCGAGGCAGGGGCCGCCGGAGGACGAGCGGCGGTCGAGCCACGGCGGGGCGCGCCGGGCAGCCGGCGGCACCGAGGTGGAGCGCGCGGGGCGGGGGCTCGGCCGGGAGGGCGCGGCGTGCGGCTCGCGGGCACGTCCGGGGGCTCCCGGCGGCTGCCCCGCCTCGGGGTGCCTACGAAGCGTCGGCCCCGAAGCGGCGGCACGTCGCCGACGGACCGGCGAGCGGCCCCCGAGGGCGAGTCCACACGTTCCTGGGAGGGCTGGGCCATCGGGGCCCCGAGCGGCGAGGAGAGGGCGCTCGCGGGTCGATGTATCCTCCCCTGTCGTGGCCCCGGACTTTGGCGGCGTCGCCCGTGCACGACGCCGACGCCGAAGGTGCGGTCAGGCACTTTCGCACGTCGGGACGATCGACATGGGAATGGAAAGACGGAACCAGGCTCGCCGTCAGCGTCGCCGCGGGCGTTGCCCATTTGAGACAGAAGGGCACCTGCCCAACAGCGGCCGCTGTCGGCTTTGGGCAGCGTTTGCTGTTGGGCATCGTACCCATCTTTCCGTTCCCATTTCGGGCGTCCAGGGCGGCGGCCCTGGCGACACGCTATGCCTTGCAAGCGGCAGACAGCATGTCGCTCCGCGCCGACGGGCGGGAGGATGGGAACGGCTCGAGACGCTGATACTTGGGATTGGGGACGTGGATAGCATGTCGCGCCGAAGCGAGGTAGGCCA